TCTGCTGCTTCCATTTCCATTGAAGTCACTAAATCAAATATATTGTAGAAATATGCTTTGCCTTTAAAAATCCTTCGCATATGTAACTGATTATTTGATATTTAAAAACTGTGTATATTTTACTTCAGAAAAAATTTTCAACATTCCGCTATGAAATTGAACATTTATGGATCTTTATAAGGAAGAAATATTTTGAAATAGTATTAAAAGTGATTTGATCATTAAATAACATACAGAAAATTAATGTTCAAATGGGGATAATACACAAGATAAAGAATCTTACTGAATCGTATCTTTAAATTCAAATAATTGACCATCAAGTTATATCTACCACATTTTAAATGAGCAAGAAACAAACAATGGTGAGATTCAAGTAGCACAGAAAACTTTATGTGAATCTTTATCAAGTTAGTAAAAACTGGTAAATGCTTTTAAATTATGTTTTTTATAATACTTTGTTTTAAGAGTGGGTATTAGTTACAATCATGGGAACTTTAGGCTTCTACTAATTCATAGAGAAGCTATATTCCCATACAGTATAACCTTGACTTAACATGTCAGTGGTGTTTTGTGTAGTTTTCATTTTATAGGTACAGCCACTTCTGACTTATAAACATAACTTTTTTACTTTAAGGGAGAATAGAAATTGTATACATCATGGAATCAGTAAGGGAAAGGCATAAGAATTCCATAGCCACAGTAAGGATGCTTTGTATACCTAAATTCACTGTACTTGCTAGAATCCCTAGTGTTTTAAAAGGATTATTAATTTTTCACTTCTGACAAGAGATGATGCCAAAATGGGGTGAGTAGGGTTTTAAAGTGAATGTTTCCTCACTTGAATTTAATGGTATCAATATTATTCTTTAGGAAGATATAGATTCAAAATTAATTAATTTCATGATCAATTTTGAGAGGTCACAAGAACTTTCTTTTTGGCACAACCATAATATTATCATAGCAATTCAGATTGTCAGTAAAAGCTTAAACAAATTTGCTGATAATCCTGTTAATGACCTAGGTCAAGTGTTAACTGTTGTGGGTTATAAAGTAGTGAAATTAAGGTTTCTCCTACCTCCAGGCAAACAGCACAGTTATAACTACTGGGGGTGGGTGGAGAGCCAAGCTATTAGGAGAACTATTAAATTACAGAAATGTATAATGCATTTAATTATTTAGTCTAGCATGAAGAAATGCTATTAAAAGCAAATGCAAACCTTCTTTTAAAAAAAAGCCCATAAAGATGACATGATAGCTTAGCTCTCTGTTAATGTTTCAATCACAGAGAGTTTTATTTGAGGTTTAGAGTTTATATACATTGAAGGTAATATGGATTCTGAGTAACTTTTGCAAAGGAGAAATCTCTTATTTAAATATTTAGTGTGTCAACATTTACCTACTGCTCTAAGAGAAGCATATAGCATACATCTGCAAGTTTTACTTTTAATCTTTAAACAATCACATAATCACCTCTTGTGCTTTGCAGATATTTCATGGTTGTGTTGTAGTCAATCCAGAAGAGTTTCCCAATAAGATGTACACATGTAGGCTGAATTTTACTGAACTTTATTTTTAAAACTCTCATTTTCAGTGTAAAGAGTGCAATGGGTAAATGTGAATCCAATTTGTGAGGACTTTTGGATGGAAAATATTGCATATAATATTAAATAAGCTGTGCGTTATGCTTCAGACTGCTACAAATATTTGTGTATAAAGAGTATTTCATGCAGTTCCAAAGTTGGCTGAACTAATAAAGGTCAATCACTTCACTCTTTATCCAGCAAGTTTTAACTTCTTTCCAAACTTACTGTTCACTAGAGTCACTGTACAATGGAAGCAGAGCAAGCATACAAATAATGCATAGGGTCTATCTGCTTTGAAACATAAGTGATTTCCCACTGGAAGTCTCTTCTTGTGCCATGTGAGTGGAAACAACTGATCACTGTGAGCAAAGCCTTTACTAACTTCTGTGAGTGAATTCAGGCCAGATTTTAAATGATCCTCTAAACCATGCATCTCTATAATCATCCAGAAGACCACCGGGAGAAAGTAGAACTTGGAATCTTGGAATCACTTTCTTGAAAGCACATTAGAAAGTCGCTGTAAGTAACTGGTAGGTTAGACAGTTCACATTAAGTCCGTAAGTTATTTTTCTTTATATTGGACTTGTGGGACTTCAATAGTTTTATTTAGGGATCTCAAATTGTTTAAGCTCTCGTAAAGACAAGTTCATTAACAATCAGTTCAATGGCCAGGAAATTTGTCAATTTCCATCATGTCTAACTATGTGATAGGAGAATATATTCTAGTTGATATACTATAGTAAATTACCTGTAATTTTAAAACATGATTTTAATCATGATCTATCTTATTGCACATCTTCAGCTTTCAAATTGAACTGTTTCAGGTTATCTTAGCTCTATCTATGAGTCCAGATTATTTGTTAGGGGGAATTTCATAGATATTGTGACACACATTTGGAATTTTCACTTTCCATATAATTCAACTGTTAAGAGCCACGATACTGGATAAATATTTAAAGTATCACTAAAGTATTATCTAACTTAAGCTATTCATGTAACATTTATTTTAAAGTGCTAGAAATCTCATAAATAAAATGAGACTGTAGCCATATGATAGTGTGAAGGACTAGCCCTGTGAACAATAGACACATAAAAACTTTCGCATAAGCAAATTAAATGAATGATAAAAGTTTCATGAGTATTCTATCATTATATATCTATATTGTTACCTTGTACCTGACTGTTGGCATACATTATGCAATCATACATACATGAATGTGGTTTAAAGGCAATTAAGATAGAATTATACTTATTTAGTTAAGTTAATATGCTTGCTTTTACATGACTGTGAACAAGTTTAAGCGTTGTTTTTTTTTGCAATTTAAATAAAGGTTAAGTTGACCTACAAATGCAGTTTCATCTATATCCTCTTTGTCACTAATTGAGTCATCAGCGTCAGGACAGTTTATATACATTCCATTTGAAAAATACAACTTATCAAAACAATGTGGTAATTATATTGTTGTCTTGCTATTGTTAGTGTTTCTATTATATTTGGGAAAATAGTTCAAAACTCTAATATATTGCAGTTATTCATACACCTATGATTACTCATGTCTATTTTCTTCATGAAGAATGACAGACCATTACTTTCAAATGAACATTTTTAATTTGTGTCACTAAAAAAGTCATTTGTGGTAAAGATGGTTTTCCTAATCACCATGATGAAAATACAATCCATTTTTCTATTGAAAAACAGACAAATTTAATAAACTCTGCCAAATTGATAAAGACAGCCAAGCCACTAAGGAAAGAAAATTATACCGTCCCATTAGCATCGAAAGTAGGTCATCAAGCGTTTGAAGCAGTCTTTGTACAGAATGGGTTTGCATATATTTTTCACATGGGCATAAAAATAATGCATACTACATTGGCTCTACGAAGTATTTTAAGTGAGTGTTGTACACCTACTGTGCTTCCTGCCCATCAGTTGTTCCCTATTGTTAGCTTGACCAATAAGATTCTACATGTTCAAAATCATTAAGAGGAAATTAAAGTTGTACATGTTGCTGCGAGGCAATCAGTTATTCTGAGAAGTTACGTTTTTAGGGTTTGCATTCTCAAATCATTAGGAGCAGACTGTGAAAAGCCCTCAGAAAGGAGTCAGGAGTACGCTTGGTACACACAAAAACAAATATTCTCAATATTAGGTTTGCACTTTGATCCATTGAAAAGCCAGGGATGCCCGTTTACGCGGACAATAACTGATCCACCATCAAGAAAATGCCGTTAGCGGTCCGTGGATGGTCTTTCTAATTTGCTATTCAGTTATTTACTGTATCTGCCCAGAAGCTATTCATCAATCCATCAATAAACGCCTTCTCCCATTTGTATGAAAGCCCCTTCTTTAAAAGAACCCAACTTAAGCTCACTTCCACCCCTGCAAACATCACTGCCTCTAATGTGGCATGCATATGCTGCCCATGAGAACCGGTATTGCTGAGCACAGCATCGCCCGGCCGGCGGGATCCACATCACTTCAATAAGACGGTTGCAAGATAAACATACGCACACGCGCACACAAACACCTCGGACCCAAAGAGTCCCTTTCCCTCTAGTCCATTCATAAGTGCCAAAGGCTCTAAGCTGGAGCAACCTGTCATTATCTTTAAAACACACCGCGGGATCTAGAGAGACGTTCTTTGAAACTTCCCAGAGAACCACATGGTCATGATTAAAAAAATAAAATACTGCCTTGGCTATTTGGCAATTAACAGAGTGGGTTGGGGAAAAAAGAAAAACAACGGAGGATTTTCTTTCTTTCTGCTTCAAATTGGCAAACGTAGTAAATGCTTGAATCGCTGTCACATTAAAACCATATTTTTTTTAAGGTTTCCACAATCCCAAATCATCTCCCAAAAAGTATTTGGGGACTGCTACTGGGCAAAGGCAAGCTTTCGCTGCCACCCGTTCGTTCTGAAGGCACTTCGGGGAGCAGTGCGGGTGCAGGGGACTGGGCACTCGGTTCCGGGGGCTGAGCAGTACCTGGCTTACCTTCGTTGGAAGGCTGTGGGCTCAGTTCCCCGGAGCAGCTGAGGACGCAGCAGCCGAGCAGGACGAGGATGGAGAGGTGGCAATCCATGTTGCTGGTGCACCGGGCAGTGAGAGGAGCATATCTCCACGAAGCATGCCACTGATGTGAGGGGGAGCGCTCTGATTGCTGGAGAAGTTACCATGCTCCGCTCACAGTCTGATGTCAAGTTTGACACTGGAGATAAGGAGGAGTCTGGCTGCCTTTCTGCGAACCTCGCTCGGGGACTTCGCTGGGTCCTAGTGCCGTCGGAAACCAGCGCTGAAGAAGACAGGGGGAGCTGGTGGCTGGCAACCAGGTCTGGTGCACCCCAGCCATGGAGAAACTCAGTGGGGTGGAGGTCTGAGGGTCGAGGGTGTTGCTAATTGTACAGAGAGGCTAGAAGTTGTGCTGGAACAGCGATGTAGAATCGGGGGAGTCACCCTGTTTTCTCTGAAAGGCTGCTATTTGTGTGCAATACTTGATCAGTTGTCCATTTCCCAAAGAGCCCCGATAGAGGTACTGTGAGTTAAAAGAAACTAATGTTCAATAAAACAACAGTAATGTTTTTAAAACTGGGAGGCATGCGTTTAATATTTATATAATTCCAACGATCATTGTTACGATTCATTTACTGTGTTGAATATGACCACAATTCTCTCTGTGGTTCAGCAAGACAAAAGTAGAACTCCTAGATCAGGAAGTCTGTTCAGTCCATCACATGGCATCAGGCTGTCAGAGGGATTTATCAGAAGATTTCAGCTCACCAGCGCACATTCAGGTTCCAAACACTGGGAAGAAATCTTCCCCCCTCTTGGGACAGTAGCTATCCTAACCATAGCAATAGCTTTGGGCCGCCACTCACTCCATAGGGTACTGGAATTGTAATATTAATCAAACTGAGTTCTGAACAATGAATGTCCTTGCCTGCACCACCTAGCCTTAGGACTTTGCTATTCTGTGACACTCAGCATAACACACAGCTCCCTGTTCAGGCTTCCAGCCGCCAGTAATCTAGTAATGTTTGAAGACTGTTTTCTAACACTGAAAATCCTGCAGCTGCTAGAGAAGAATGGCCTTGTTTTTTCTCACTTACCTTGCAGTGGGCTTACAAACTGTCTCACCCTGAACAGTCGGATTGCAATCTATTTCAGCTACATAGGTTTTTGCAAGTTATACTAAAAGATATTTCAATTATCTTTGAAATACATCCCAGACAGTGATTTCTCACCCACCCTCTCACCACCCATTCATCTCGGCCTATCCTGAAAAGAAACAAGATGATTACCTCACGTAGATCCAAAACCAAAACGGAAACTTAGGTTGGCAACATTTACACCAGTGACCGGCATTCAAGCTCTGAGAAGTGAGCTGTGTAAGTTTTAAAAGATCCTGGCATTAAGAGATTCACTTCACAAGCACTGACTTTCAGTGATACAGTTTTCACATGAATTTAGCCTAATAGCTTCCAATAGCATTTATTGACTGCTTGGTGAAGAAGGGTTGGGCTGAGGAAGCCAGATGGAAGAGAAGGATCCTACTCACACACACTTCCATGAGAGACTTATTTGTCTCCCTAACTCCTTCTCACAATATGCCACCAGGGGCTGTAGAGCCCACCAGTGTTAAATCTGTGAGTACCGAAAATAAGAGATGCTGATCAGAAAACAGGAACAGAGGGACCTTGTCATGATGTTTATAGTGCCACCACAACAGTTAACATTGCTTTGCAACTGAATATGATTTTCCCTGGAACTTTGAAAAGAATGGCATTTGGTTCAGATTGTAATTTAGAAGCATCTGGAAAGGTCACAATACTATGCTGGTCTTTATGAACATGAGTTGCCTTTCCTCTCCCTAGCCCATTACTTCTCTTTCCCATCTAAGGAACACTGTTGACTATGAAAAGGACATTCACGTTTGAACAATGTTACAAGTAGGCAAAAAAGGAGTTAAAAACAATGACTGTGCCAGACACAAAATATAAAAGATGCAGGGTTTCTCACTTGTAGACTCCTTAGACCTAAAGACATGAGAGTTCCTGGATCTGAGGAATGAGGCCCTGGATTCTAACCCAGCATTTCAGAAACAGAGTATGCAACACAGAACTTTGGAGATGAAGGCAGGAAACTCAGAACTTTAAGGTGATTTTCCATTCCACAGTGAATTAGATGACATCCTGGTTGCCAGGAAACCTTGCCTCTGAAATCAAAAAAGAAAGAAAAAATAAATGAAAGGGAGGAAGAAAGGAAAGAAGGAAAAGTTCTCATAAACTCAGCACTGTTAGGGACACATGTGAAAAAGAATCAGGCCAATAAAGAGAGAACAGGCCAACAGAAGAGAAATGAGTTTGGCCACCTTAGGAGACGTTGAACTGCTGGGAGAGGCAAAAGTGTAACATTGATGGAGGGGCTCAGAAGGCACTGTCAGTGAGCAGAAGGAGCACAAACAAAATTAGAAAATGTCCAGTGGAAGGGAAAGTACTTTAAAGTTCTCACACATGTGGGTCATAAAATCTTTTTTTTTTGAGCCCTGTTAGCATCAGAGATCAGAGAACAGAATGGAAGCCAGAGTGATGACTGTTTAGGTAAATACTCTTCATAGGGCACAATGAAAACTACACAGAAATCCCCTCACTGGTCAATATGTTTGCAACCTACCCTAGACTAAAGAGAAAGAGCAAAGCCAAAAACCCAGAAGTAAATTGATCATGTATGAGTTTTAGGAAATTATTGTAGTCATAGGTTAGGCCAGGGCATTGTCAATGACGTTGAAGGACAGAGAATGAGTACTGAAAGAGATCTCTTCTTCCCACCACAGGTGTGACCCTGAATCAGAGACTTTAGAACCCAGGCAGTTTCAACTGGACAACTGCTGGGTGAGAAACAGGAAAATTCAAAGATGTGGTGCTTACATCAGAAGTCATTATTAAAGTAAAACTGATTGTAGGACAGCACTCAGATTTATCAGGAAGGATGAACACCTCCTGGATGGGGAAAAGCTACATTTTTTTCCAAGACAAAGAGTTAGGGACCTGATTTAGATGTTAAGGGAACATTCGTGAAAGAGACAGAAATTGAGTCGCATTGAGGAAGAGGAGACAGGATAGGTAATAAAGACATGTGCTGCAGAAAAAGAGTGACTGTAATAAGCTTCCTAGAGGAGGGAACGTCTGTTATTGGAAGATAGACACTGAGGTTGTGTCAGAATTTTGGGAGAGGAGAGACAGGAAAGCTTGGAAAAGCCTGATCACGAGTTCTGAGAACTTATGGACTGTGGGATGATTTGGGATACAAGAGACTTAATCTGAGTTTAAAAATGGGAAAGTTGCAACCAAAGTGGCAACACCAATAGCAAGGGATACACCAACCCTCCTTGATGCTGACTGGTGTAGCTGACATTATGTCTTCTGTGGAGCTTTCTGTTTAAATCAGTGTACGAAGCAGTTGTTTTGGTTTTGCTGGCTTTCAGTGAGATTTTGGCACTAACAGATCCTATCTTAGTGTAAGTGTTAAGTAATGGTTAGGATGTTATTGAGTGATATCCTAGGGTCTGACATGTAAAAACTTGTATTATATAAAAAAGTCACTAGCCAAAGTAGAGTCTAGACTGTATAATCTGAGTAGTAACAGAACTTCAAGTCACAAAATCGTAAGTGAGGAAGTTGTCAAACTTCACAATAGGTTCATGTTAAGAAATGAGGGATACAATGAGGAATACTAGTGTCTATACAGCCTTTTAAATTCTTATTTGACTACATGTTTAAAAAATATTTGAAGATGGAAAATGGTAGAGATTGTTATGTTACCTAAGTCTAGTTGGAATAGCCTGAGGGAAAGTCAAAGGAAATGAACTATCCGTAGACAAAGACCTTACCTGGTTTGTTCTGTTAGAGATTATGTATATATAAATGTAACTAGGTACATGTTTGCAAGGAAAGTGTAGGCAGGGAGATAAAACTGGGGCATGCACCAATATTTAACATCTTGAGGCTGAAGTGGAGGACAAGGAGCTAGAAGAGATGAGCTCATTGGAAGACTGGAATATTGAGTTTTCACAGGCATGCGCTGTAGGTAGTATTTCATGCACAAACCCCAGTATGAGTGACTCCTGGCTGTAATAAATTTTATGATAAACCTCTGTCCTGTACTCTGCTACTTCGGCCAAAGCCACTGTTGCCCTCTGATGAATGGCTCTCTCTCTTTCAGACATATACAGAACACTGCTGAGAGTATGATATCTCCTATTGGCTGATGTCTCTTAGCCTAACAATTGAGGCATCCTGTGTGTATTCTGATTCCAGGACTACTTGACACTTGTAACATTCTACAAACACATGTTTCTTTGTCCCTCTTCTTACTTTTTAAAATGTTCTTATTTAGATGACATTTTTTACATTTATTTTGCAGACTGACCACAGTTCCTCTTCCTCCTCTCTTCCTATCTACCCACCTCCCCATCCACTCCTCCTCTGTCTCTATTCAGAAAGGGGCAGGCCTCCCATGGGTTTCACATGGAACATCAAGTTGAGGCAGGACCAAGCTCTTCCCCTTGCACCAAGGCTGGGTATCCTTGCCCTCATCTCTTTTTTAATAATCTTAACTATTCCATTTGCTCTTAGTTTTCACACACACACACACACACACACACATACACACACACACACACACACACCACATTTGTGGGCTACAATATAATAGCCAACATAGATCAATATAGGCTATTTGTAATTTTCATCTTTTCATATGTCATCTTCACGCTCTTCTCCGGTTATTTTGAAAAAGACGGTTACCATGTGCTGTACTTACAGTATTGTGCTTTGGAATTCCTTCACCCTATGTCTTCTGGTTCTCATTATATGCCTTCTCATTCTTCCCTATTATTGCTTTCTCTTGCCAGCTTTCTGACTTTCAACTTCTATGGAACAACCTTTCTGTTTCCACAAAGGGATAACAACTTGTGATGCTGTGTTTCAGTGCCTGTCTTATTTCACTTAGTGTAATGCCTTCCACTTCTATCCACATTACCGATTTAAACCCCTTTAGACCCAGATATTATTCTACTGCACCTATCTAACACATTTTTAAAATGCACCCACCCATGGTAAGGACATCTCAACTGAGTTCTAAGCTACTGTGAATGATTCTGTACTAGGCATGTGCATCCCAATATCCTTTGTCATATAGATTCATTTCCTTCTGATGGATAACCAGCAATCGGCTGCTAAGTGGAAGTGTGAGGATGGAGGTTATAGAAGTGTTATTAAGAGTCCGAAGTCTGCACAGTGGATCTCAATAATGGAGTAAATGGAAAGAGGAGCAGTAGAAGGGGTTCATGTGCTTGCCTGAGCACTAATGCAAAGAACTGACAGAAAACAAAGTGAACCAAAGATGGGGGAAATGGATTCTGTTTGAGATACACTGAGAGCCAGCCAGAAGTTCTGAGAAAAGCAAGAGCAGAAACTGGAATTTAGGAGATGAGTGGAACATTGTGAGTAGCTTAATTTAGAGAAATAAAGTTGAATTTCCCAAAAGATCACATACAGTGAGGGGAAATGATGTCTCTGAATTTAATTCTGATAAAATAAAATTATTCAAAGTGCAAAAGGAGGTTGAATTTATTATGGTAAACTGGGATATGTATTGTAAAGGGGATGGTAAGGAGAGTGAATCAGAAAGGTCACCAGAGATGCAGACTCTAGGAAGTGAGCAACCAACCAAAAGTAAGGGGAAGTTTCCTCAAAACTGCGAAGAAAATTGTCTTGTAGTTAATGGACAGAATGGAAGACCAAGAATCTCTGCCTAGAGGAGGTTTTCAGATGCAAAACACCTCTCAGACTATGTTTTCTTAAAGAAGGATAAGACACCAGGGACTCCATTATACTGTGGGGCCTCCATTATGCTCATGGGGTGAAAAGCAAATGTAGAGAAAGGATCTCAAAGAATGTGCCATTTTGCAAGTAAAATATCGAAAGTGATACTTGCCATAACCTTCACAAAAGGGCTTCGGAAGGAAGGCTGGATGGAAGAATGCTTTCTGAAAGATGATGGTTTTTCCCTATAAAACTGCCGAGTTTAGTTTGGGGATTAGAAAGTCTGCATATGTAGTACAAAATAACTCACTCTATTTTAACCTCGATACTCACTGATACAATAAATCTTGAATTTAAACATGAAAGTTTATGCAATCAGTGTAAAAATTAACCTGTATAGATTCATTGAAAAAAAGTAACTGTAAATTGGAACTTTTTCCCTCAATTGTAAAGCTCTCAAAAGAGAGGTGGAAAAAAATACATCAGTGATATGACCTGCTTGGTAGAATTCACACTTATTCTTACATGAAGTTTTTAACTTACCTCTGAAATATATTTAAACTTTTTGAAACAAATTTTATTACCATAGTTACTGCTTGGTCTTCAGTTTTTCTCATCTAAATAATAGGAAAATAAGCCAGGAGCTCTTTTCATAAATCTAAGAAAATATCCAAAACTCCAAGAAAGCTAGCACTTTGGAGTGATGTGGTGAGAGAATAAGAGAGGATGATGGTTGATGTGAAACTTATAGTTTCCTACAACCCTCATATAAGCTCATTTGTGAGTAGTAATCCATGTGTACATACACATTCATTCAGATAGATTCATTCTTCATTCCTGTACCCAATGCACATATGGGATTGGATGCTGTCCATTAGGATTCTCCCTAGTAGATCTAGAGACCTTATTAAAATACAGGTTAGCGTTACCAGATGTAGAGCAGGGCCTAAAATACTACTATGCCCAGAAGCTCCTCCTGATGTCTGTATGACCACCTTGGCAAAGTTCTATATTTCTTTTCGTTATATTACATGCAAGTAACACTGACATGATCAAAATGAGAAAAATGGATAAAATATGGTTCAAAATTAAAATGTGTCTCCACGTAAACCTGGAGAGTGACGTATTCCCGTTGTAAAGCACATAATGCTATGCAATACATTTTCTTATTTTAAAGTCACAAAACTGGGACCATGTCTTCCTTACTATGAACTGGCATTACTATTGCAAAAGCCCTGTTATACACTCTTTCTCAGTATCTTATCTGCATTATTTTAATTTTTATGATATTTTTAATTTATGAATTGCCTTTTGATTATCATATGCTTAAATGAGAAAGTAAATACCAGATAAAACAATACCTGGCACAGTAACATATACAAATCTATTTCATTATTCCAGATGTGATGAATATGTGACCATAATGGTTTGATAATTTCTTCAGCAAACTCTACATAAGAACCATTATTAAAAGAAGCTCGTGACCAACGACAAAATGTCTTTGAATTTACAAGTAATAGAATGTTTTTCTGTCTTTCTTTCCTTTCTCCTTTTTCCTTCTTTCTTTCCTTCCTTCCTTCTTCCCTTCCTTCCTTCCTCTCTCCCTTCCTTCTTCCTTCCTCCCTCCCTTCCTTCCTGCCTTACTTTCTTTTTCTTCTTATTTATTTATTTATTTATTTATTTATTTATTTATTTATTTAGAGACTGAATTTCTCTGTGTAGCCCTGGCCATTCTAGAACTCACTCTATAAATCAACCTGGCCTCGAACTAAGTGATCTGCCTGCTTCTGCCTCTAGAGTGCTGGGATTAAAGGCATGTGTGATTAACACCCAGCTAACAGGATGTTTTCCTAAAGCTGAGAAAGAAGTCTGTACTTCTTGTCAATGTATTTTAGCTGGAAGATGGCATTTTCATTGTCTCAGTGTACTGTATTATGATTCAATGAATACATAAGAGCAAGAAAGGCCTTCCAGTTGAAGGTGATTTGATTCAGGATACTGTAACAGGTGATATATGATAGCTCAGGTAAAAATGGAGGTCATCCCAAGAATTTCCTCACATTAAAAAAAATGGGAAAAATCAAAATGTTCTGTGATGGTGCAATGAAGTCATACTACATGTGAGGATCACATTTCTTTAGGTTTTAGCTCCTAAGTATATGGTGAGCCTGAACATAAAATAGCATTACTCAATGCAGAATAATTAACCGATTATGTGCTTGTCTAACCACAGCCATTAATTCAGCTGGGAACCGGAAAAGCAATCCATAGCGAGCTATAGATATCTCGTTTCAACAATGTTAAACATTTGTGATTTTTCACGGATGCTCTAGTTTCTGCAAGTGCCCATGCAACCTCACCTGCTTTTCCAATTTGTCTCTTAGATTATGCTCTAGGTCAATGAACCCTATTATGTCATGCCAATACAGTGGCTAAATGATGATAAATAATTGAATATGTGACAAGTAATCCACATCTGAATGTCAGTCATCTTAGTTAGGCACCATTTCCCCAACTGGAGGAAGAGTTATTCCATTTCAAATTCTATGTTTTGATATTTCTAAACATTTTATAATCTGTGAATACACCAATAAATAAAAATGTATTTGCAGAGATTACTACAATTCAAAGAAAACTGATTTTGAAAAATAAAGTGATGTAAAATATTTACAATTATGCATTTTAGAAATTTATAACTTTTATAATTTAATGATAGTAATGAAAGAATTTAAAATGTGCATGCAATACTTTTCAAATATTTCAAGTGCATGGGCTTTGGTATTTGTATTATTTGCTTAATTTATACTTTTCAAATAGTCTGTTGTTTTCAAGCACAAGAAAATGAGTTTTTAATTCTGTTTCGACTTTTAAAACTATCATCCTAATGTCCAGAATCTGTGATACCTTTACAAATCAAGTTTACACACAGGAAGTCTGTCTATTGAAGGTACCACTCTAGCTAAAAAAATGAAGGAACAGTACCATACACAACACTTCATCAAAGATTTTTATTGTTAAACCCTTATCTGGGGAAACTGCGATGTAGCGCGTTCTCCACTAGAGGGCAAAGAAGAGGCAGCGGCCACTGCTGCTCAGGTGTTCAGTTCAGTACTATGTTCCAGATTACCAAGTGACCATTGGAGAAAATAGCAAAAATTTATTTGTTGGTTCATTTTAACTACTTTTGAGCTATAGAAAATTCTAAAAAAAAGATTTTAGAAGTCCATGCACATCTATAAGTTCTGTCTAATCACCCAATCTTGTTCTTACCTGGCCTAGATACTTCTTTAAATTCATCATGGTTGGAAAAACAAGAGTCACACTTGATTCTTGGTCCAGGGAAATCTGCAGCTTTCCACACTGAAAAATCGCAGAGATTGGTGGCACACGGTCTCCTTTCTCATCCTCCTTGAGAGACAATGTCTTTCAAATTAAAATATTTACTCAGAATGACACCAATGTAAATTTACAGTCTACTAAAGTCATCAACTGACAGACGTGGTTTTAGTAAAATTGATAGCAAAGGAAAGGAAAGGCCATAAAACTGAGAATGAAATAAGAGGGAGATCCAAAGGAGTCATTATTTAAGTTTTTCCCACGCAGGGACAACAGGAAGGAGGTCCCCTGTGGCACTCACAGCTAACATTTCTGGGGAAGCAAATCCTATGGAGACATTAGAGAACCTTATCTTGTCCTTTAAATCAGAGGGATACAGACATCTTTAAGAAAGAGCAAAGGAGAAAACATCCTTTTTGTAACCCAGTTACAAAAAGACAAAAATGGTATGTACTCACTCATATATGGATTTTAGATACGGAGCAGGGCATTGCCAGCCTACAATCCCACTATCAAATAGTCTGGGGTGCAGGGAGGACCCTAAGAGAGATTGCATGGTAACCCGGAAAAGGTTTATGGGATGAGATCTCCTAATTGGATTGGGGGGGAGAAGAAAGGGAAGGCAGAATGAGATGAGAGAAAGAGAGGGGGAAAAGAGGAGGGGGGAGGAGGACATGGGAGACCAGGAAGGTTGAGCCAGGGTAAGAATAGAGGAGAGACGGATGGGAGATACCATAAAAGAGGGAGCCATTATAAGTTGGAGGAGAGATCTGGCACTAGTGAGATCTTCACAGATCTACAAGAATGACACCAACTGGCACAAAGCCTACCTTAAATGCCCTCCCATGATAATGAGAATGATGACTAAATTATATGCCATCCTAGAACTCTCATCCAGTGGCTGGTGGAGGCAGAGGAAGACACCCACAGAAGGGAACCGAATTGAACTCTTGGAACCCAGTTGCAAAGAGGAGTGGTGACCAAAGGAATCAAGATCAGGCTGGCAAAACCCACAGAGGCAGCTGACTTAAACAAGGGGGAACACATGAACCCCAGACAGATCCAGATACCACCCCCCACTGAACCTGGCTGTCAGAGAGGAGGCCTTGGCAATCTGTAGGATCTTGGAGAGTAGAGCAGTATTTATTCCTGACATACAAATGGACTCTAGGGACCCATGCCACGTGGGCTCTCTCAGCCCAGACACATCGACACATTGGGGAGGACCTAGACCCTGCCCAGGATGATGTGACAGACTCTGAAAAATCCCTTATGGAAGCCCTTACCCTCCCTGGGGAGAAGAGGGGGAATGGAGTGGGGATGAGAGGTTGGGAGGATTGGGGGGTATGGGGGGGGGAGGGAGAGGAAACTGAGAGTGACGTGTGTAAAAAGTTAAAAAATATGAAAGGAAAGAAAGAAAGGAAGGAAGCAAGGAAGCAAGGAAGGAAGAAAGAAAGAGCAAAGGAAATAGACCAAATTCCCTTCCTGTGACTTGGTCCATCAATACAAAGGAATTATTCTGCCATAACTTTTAGCTGCATCACAGAGCACGTTTGGGGCAGAAGCAGAAAATTCTAAGAATGATTTCGGAAGAATAACAAGACAGTTAATAAAAAGCAGGATTAATCTAAGACAAATGAACTGGTAAGTAAAACATGTGAAGCTATTTTAACTCTACTGTAAAATATAGTACATGTCTATTTTAAGGACTTGCAGAGAACAAGTTTGCACCTGCTTTATAATATTTAAAACTGTTTTTTGTTTAGCAATATTCTTAGTATTTTATTTAATGGGGTGTTATTCTTCATTGGATTGATATGGCAAATTTGACATAATAAGCCCATTAAATCCAGAGCTCTTCACTTTTGGAAATTAAGACCCACACTGAAGGGCAATAACGACTGTGATCACCCATGACCAAATTTTCTGCCAAAACAACTACTTCATCCAAGACACCATACAATTAAGGAAGCAAAGGGTAATTGCCAGGGAACCAGTTTAGTCTAGTTTGTTTACCATTTTACTCCCAGCCTTCAGAGCAGTGTCTGATACATGGTCAATCTACAATCCAATTTTTGTAGGTAAATGAAAATTTAATTCAAATTCATGATAATATATCTAAAGTATTGTTTTGTTGATTTGTTGTTTTTCAAGATATTTTTATATCATGCATCTACATGAGTGTCTGTGTGTAGACTTGTGTACATGGTACAGTACCTGCTGAGTTCAGAAGAAGGAGTTGGATCTCCTGGAACTGGAGTTACATGAAGGAGTGAACCACCTCACCTGAGTCCTGAGAAGCCTAAGCAAGAATATCAAGCACTCTTGTTCACTGGGCCATCCCTCTAGCCTCAGAGTTTGTCATTTTTGAGTTCGTTTAATTCCTGACTTCAGTCCTGTGCTTATTTGCTTAGATTTTATTTTTCCTCTTCAAAAACTCTAACATAGTCCAGAAATGTGGGCAAAAGAAGATAATAGCATAGACATAATTAATTAGGTCTTATTTCATTGTATTTGAATAAATGAACAAATTGCTACAACTCTGGAAAAGTTAAGCCAGTAATTTTATGTCTTTAAAAATAAGATAATTTTTTCAATATATGCATTTAATTTATTTAACAATCTTTATGTTAATGTGTCATCATTTATGATATGTTGATTCTCATATGAAGGGGAACAAAATTCTCATTCAACAAAATTATGCAAATATTTTCCATCTGCATGATTGTTCTAGTTCCTTGACAGTGATATTTTATAATTTTTTCCCAAATACAATGAAGGGTGTTTTATATTGTCAAGCTTCCATCAAATCAGACCTCAGTCAGAGAGCTCTAGGCCACATGTAAATAATAAGGAAATAGCTATTATGTATGGATAGATTAAATATATGCAAGCACAATCATTACATCATCCAAAATTCAACTTTTAGACTTCCTTTAAACTTTTGGCAGGAGTGGGGAAAATGAATAAGAACAGTACAAAGTTTCTATGGGTCATCGAAATTCTCCATAGACTATGGTAATGAAAGACGCATGCATATTAAGGCAAATAACATAACACACTACACTGTGGTGACCAACGTCCTTATCTGTTATAGATGTATATGTGGGAGAGGCTAGGAATGTATGTGAAATTTCTGTCCCTTCTTACTCTCACTGTGAATCTCAACCTGTACAAAGAATGACTTTATAAAATTATTTAATGCCTACAAAGCCTAACTTGTAGCTTTAGTTACTTCTACAACAGGTTGCTTTCATCATCAAAGAGGCACGGATAATCAGCAAGTTAACAATATTTTAAATAAATACAAACATCTCAATGTAGAATGACAAGAATATACCCATACCTTCTGGCAGTCACGAAACTGAACCTCTTTGTTTCTCCTCAGGGTCAGCAGATAGCATGAAAGGACAGCAGAACATGAGCCACTTACACACTGATTCCAATACTCATGAATTGGCTGATTTCCATTAACACTACTTCAGCTGCTTGTTTTCCTCATCGGTCTACAATTACTTTAACACTTTCCTAGTCACAACTATCCCTAGGGAAGAACCTTGAGGCCCTAAACTAATTGAATTAATTATAAGAGAAGACAAAAAGTTGAACCCTTTCATCTTTGATGATACTTTTATTGAAAATTTTAAGACTCAACAGGGAGAAGAAAGGCTTTCTAGAAGATCCCACCCTCAGGAAGAGGCAGCAAAACACAATTAAAGACACAAATAGATAGCAATACCTTTTCAGAATACCACCACCTACATGGTATTATATTATCATTTCTGATGAGTAGATTTTTTTTAAAAGGGGGAAGCAAACTTGCAACTGAACAAAATAATTCAATTTTAATTGTTGTGTTTTTTTCCTGAGACAGGGTTTCTCTGTGTAACTGTCCTGGCTATCCTGGAACTTGCTATGTAGACCAGGCTGGTATCAAACTCACTGAGATCCACCTGCCTCTGCCTTCCAAGTGCTGGGATTAAAGGCATGTGCCACCATTTAGTAGTAGTAATTCAAATTTTTATACAGAGGTTTTGTATTTGGAGAAAATGAGTTCTTAAATATTTCTTTGGAGGTTTCTATACTTTATGAAGCATTTTATCTGAAGCCTTATTGTTGTTGAGCATTTAATCTTCAAATGTTCACTCGCCATTACTATACTTTTGAAATCCTTTTAGTTATTCATCTGTTTTATAATTGGTTGTGCATTTCAGTTAGAAATAAAATGTATATTATGAATTATAATCCTTTGAAATATGATTATACATTTCTTCTGACCATTGATTTATCTTCGTATTGTCTTGACATTAAATTGAAATTTAAAACAAAAATATTTTAAGGTAAATTTATTTGTAAATAAATTTTTTGAATTTGACAAAACCTGGTGCACACATGATATAGAGACCATGCTTTTTGATCTAGTTTAAGTAAACTTTGTCTACCTTAAGTAGAAAATTTTTGATTGTACTATAGAAAATTTGAAGTCTAAATATTTAAGCACTTCATCAACTTATAGCTATTTGTTGTGTATGGCATGAGCAACAATTTAAATGTTCATGCTTTATCTCTGATTGATTTCCAGTTCTATCACAATTTTTGAAACATGTTTATTTACTCACTGAATTGTCTTGTAATTTTTGTAGTAAAACTCAACAACATATTTTTTTCAATCTTTATTTTTGTATTCAGATCCTTCTTTCACTAAGACCATACTTTCTTTTTAAAAGTCCTAAGATCAGGTTAATTTCAAACCTTTCTCGTCCATTTGAATGTTGGCAATCCTGGATAACTTGTGGCTTTATAGATTATGTGGCTTGTATTGTAGGAGGAAGTTTGTATGCCGCCATTAAACATGTGTCTTATTAGAGGCGCATACAGATGAGGTAATAAAAGGGCGGTTTACCACACCGCTAACCACACCCACTTTAGGCAGGACTAAAGACGTATACGTACGTAGGCAGAACTACGTCACTAGCCAGGCCCACTTTTGGGCATGGCTGGGGGCGTTACAGGGGAAGGTATAAAAGACAGCACACAGGAAGTCTCGGTCTCTTTTCCCGGAGTTCGGCGGTTCAGCAGCGGAAAACTGTTTGTCTCGTCTGGGTTACTTGTTTGGTATCTTGTGAGTAATTTCTACAATAAATACTTAGTTTTACTTCCAGTAAGTGTCGCTTATCGTTACAGCGTCCTTTGAAGCCTACATTGTATTACTATTTTCTGAAGAATATGTGCATGGAATTTTATTCAGTTTATACTTACAGAAGAATTGCTTCTTGGTGATCCTCACTCTTCTAACCTGTGAACATGGAATTCTTTACTGGTCTCCTCTATAATTCCTCTAACTGAAAATTTTATAATTTTATAATTTTAAGTATAAATGTCTTGCCCATCATTTGGCAAGTTTCTTTTTGTAATTTTGGTTTCTGATGATAATGCACTTGTCATTTTCAATAGTTTTATAATGGAGTGGGGATTGGGTGTGGGCCTGGGGGACAGATGGAGGCCTAGGAGGGGTAAGGAGGGAGAGGGAGCTGGCATTGACAAATGAAGCAAGCTTCTTGCTAATTTAAATTTTTAAAAAAGGAGGGAAAAATGTAATTCTTCAGTTTTGTTGGCTTTGTATCCTTCAGCCTTGATGAAGTCATTAATTGGTTCAAGTAGTTTTGTATGCTCCTTATGACTTCCGGTGTCCACAGCCTACCATCTGTGAAGAGACAGGTTTTTTACTTTCCTTTTCAGTTGTGCTTTATCTTCCTTATTATAGTGAATATCATAATGCTGAACAGAGTTAATTTGAATGCTCAATTTGTTCTTGGTACCTGTTTTTCATGGAAACCATTTAATAATATCATAGAAATAGAGTTTCCATTGCTCATCACTCCTCTAGGGGTCAAGACCATGATGATGAAACCCACAAAGACAGTTGACTGGATAAGGGGGAGCTCCTGAATCCCAGACTGATGGCTGAGAGGCCAACACGGGACTGATCCAGACTCCATGAATGTAGTGCAGGGAAGAGGCCACATAAATCACTGGGGACTTGGGTAGTAGATCAGTGTTCACCATGGTTTATGAATGAGCTTTGGGAGCCCATTCCAAAGAGAGGGATGCTCTCTCTGCCTGGGCACATGGGGAAGGGCCTAGGTCCTGCCCAGGATGAAATGACAGACTTTAGAGATCCCCCCCAAGGAGGGCCTCACCCTCCCTGGGGAATGATGTGGGGATTGGGTGGGGGGCTGGGGAACTGGTGGAGGGACAAGGGAGGAGGGGTGGAAGAGGGAGCTGGGACTGACATATGAAACATTCACGTTTCTAATTTAAATAAAAACACATATTGAGAAAAAAATTTAAAAAAAGAAGTAGAGTTTCCAGAGACATGGAATAGTTAGAGCACACACACCTGTATACACGCACCACACACACACACACACCACTTACAGGATACTGAACAAACTATAAATGTTTCAAGCATAATTATATAATTTGTGCAAAGTATAACTTATATAATAGTCATAATGGAAATATTATAAAGATCTACAATAATTAGAGGAGATCATACAGGCCATCTGATTATAACCCTGGAGGACCTACTGCTCACCTGGAGCCCTAATAGAGACAATGTCATAGTTAAAGCAGTAAGAAGTTCCTGCTTGGAGGCTGGCCCACTACACAAAAGCTGATTTTCTAGACTCCACAGGCAGTCTGTAGTAGAACAAGTGAGAGATGATACTGAACATGGAGTATTGGAGTATTCGCAAAATCCTTTCCTGTTTGACAGGAAAGTTCTGGTATTTTTGTTCTACTCAGTCCTTCAACTAAATAATCCATATGGAAAGCAATTAGCTTTACCCAACCAATCTTGACTAATTTAGATGTTAACGTCTTTCCCAAATTCCCCAAACAGTGCTTGAATACTGTTGAACATCTTACTGCCCAGTTGAGTAATACAATTATTAAGCGTACTACTTATAATGATATTAGCTGGAGGCCTTTGGAGTTGCCTTTCATCAGATCAAATTACTTCTTTTTACTCAGGAAGGGAAAAGGTTTTAGTGTGAATAGATGATGAATGCCATCAAATGCTATTTATATTTTTCTTGAAAGAATTATATAATTTTCATGCCTTATTCCCATATGAATTAGCTGTATTGATTTTAAGTGTTAAAACAAATTTACAACCCTGGTCATAGTCTATCATTTAAAAAATATCTTTCTATCCCATTTGCTAATGCTATGTACTGACTCTGGTTTATACATTCTGAGTCATATTGATACTTTCCTGTTTTAAACCTTTTGTCTTTAGATATTAAGATGATCAAAATCCAAGTTAAGAAACATTTTATCTTTCATTTGTTTTGACAATGTTTATGGGCAATTTGATTAATATTTAGCAGGTTTGATCAAATATTTGTCACAGAAACTTCTTTATGGTCAATTTGGAGGAAAAAATGATGTGTCTTTAATTACTTAGTTCTTACTTTATTTTGAAATAGGATCTCACTGTATATTCCTGGCTGGCCCAGAACTCTGTATTGACCTCGCTGGTCCCATAAAAATCCAACTGCATCTGACTCCCAATGCTGAATTAAAGGTATGTTCCACCATGCTTGGCATTTTTGCATTTATTTTATCGCTCTCAGCAACATTATAAAATTCTTCCTGCAATTGTCTCATATTTATGCTAATTATTTTACTAAGTGTCACTTAAAATTTTCTATTCAATTTTTCTCCATTATTTTGATCACATTTTAAAACAACTTTAAAATATGTCTCTTTCATCTAAATTCTGGATTTTCTTGACATATCCACTAATAAATATATATGATAGAATGTACCGTACACATTGTTAGCCTTTAAACTATATGAATTTTTCTGGATTATTTCTTTCTAACCTTATTAGAGCTGTTAACATTTTATAGTTTGCTCCACTGAGAAAAGCCTAATGGCTTTATCAGGTTTAAAAATCCCTAACTGCCACTTTCTTTGCGCTACTTTTATGAACATTTTACAAGTTTACACAATGTGAATAACAATATCCTATTACTGTTTTATCATCATTTCTAAAATTCTATTACTTAGACGATCACAAATATAGTTGCAAATTATGTAATAGCAAAAAGGAGATATACAAGTTCTTTATATATAAACTGTTATTTATCTCATTAAAGTTTCACTCTGGTCTTGTTAAATAAAATTTAAGTGTAATTAATATGTGTAGCTCAATAGGTTTAGTTTAAGATATATTTGTCATTGGGTAAAAGTAAGGGAGGTTGGAGTATGTGGAAGGTAGACAATGCAATTCACAATGTAATGAACTATATCAACATAAAATAATCATAAAAGGTAAAGAAATTAATATAAATTAATGTGCCCACGATATGCATGAAACTCTTTGTAATTTGTTCACATTGCAGCTACTTTTATACCACTACTGATTCAATGTTTTCATTAAGAATGATCCTTGTTTTGTTTTCCACTGCTGTAAAAGACTATGACAGACTGGGTGGATAATAAGCAACAAAGTTTCATTTCACTTCTGGCTTTAGAAAGTCAAAAATCCACTGCATGGGCTACAGAAGAAAGCTTTTTTTGTAGCCTTTTGGAAAGCACAAGAAACATCTGAGAGAGACACAAGGAAGGGGAACTCCAAATCATTTAGTCAGTAGCACACTCCCAGCAGAAGTGTGTTGATCCATACTGAAGAGAACAGCTCTCATGAGCTAAACAGCTGGGCCACTCCGTACTGTTACAATGCCATCTGGGAAACTTGAGACCTCAACTGTTCTTGTGAATGCTCCCTCTGAACTCACATTAAAGTTGTCTTTGTAACAGCTCACAGGGAACATTCACTGGCACAGTTGATGTCTCAAGTGTCCTCAAAGAAACACGTGTATCACACAGATCTTCCTTTATCCATGGGAAGTGACAAAAGATGTGAAGAACATTAGTTATATTGCATTTGAAGGAAACTTTTCATAAAGTCCCTCTTACACTCATGTTTATAAAAACGCTAAGTTATTCAGGAAAGAGTATTGCCATTTTTATAATCTTGTAACTACAAATGCTATCAGGATATTTGCACAAATAAGATTGGGTTTTAGATTGAAGTATTTTCTCACTTACTTATAAAAGCAAGAAAATAGATCCCCAATTTTTTTGTTTTGTCCTCTTTATCAACAAAGGCATGAGATCACTAATTACTTCTTCCCATTCCAGCAGGAAAACAGCCAACTGATCCAAATGAGAACCTATCTGATCCTGAAGCTGCTTCTTCTTGGGGATCACAAGTAGATCTATATTTCTAGAACTGAGTTTGGACTTTATTTAGGAAGTTAGAAAGTTAAGTTTACAATTTTAAAAAAGTTATTTTCATAAATATAATCATTGCAAAATGCAATACAGATATTAAACATTTTTAAAAACAAAATTCAGTTCTCATTAGCATAGTCACAGAATTGCATAGCATCACCACCATCTGAATATGGAACATTTTAACAAGTGTGTGTGTTTGAGTGTGGGGAGGGTGTGCCATGAATCTTGTTCCAGTTCTATCTGGTTTGTAAGGTTACTTACTTCCTGAGGGTCATAAGATTCCTCCAAGATAGAGTATTTCATCTCAGAGGCTATTATTACAAAACGAATAGTTAATGGGTTTGTCTTAATTAAGGTTTCTATTGATGTGAATATCTATCTATCTATCTATCTATCTATCTATCTATCTATCTATCTATCTATGTTTTTCAAGACAGGGTTTCTATGTGTATCTCTGGAGCCTGTCCTGAAACTCACTCTATATATACAGAGATCCATCTACCTCTTCCTCCCAAGTGTTGGTGTTAAAGGCATGTGTACCACTGCCTATCTCCATGCCAACACTTATAAAGGAAAACATTTAACTGGAGTGGCTTATAGTTTCTGATGCTTACTCCATTATCATTCTGGTGGGACACGGCAACACACAGACAGATATGGTGCTGGACAAAGAGCTGAGAGTTCTCCATCTTCATCCACAGGAAACAGGAAGTGAACTGTCTATCACATTGAACATAGCTTGAGGAAAAGAGACCTCAAAATCCACCGAATTTCACTAACAAGCACATACCCACTCCAGCACAAACACAGGGTTGATTATCTTCTCATGGGATTATGATTTCCTTGAATATTTTCAGTGAGAAAATAGGTATTAAAAGCCCTTCCTTAATTTTAATTGAATTACTAACATTTATATTAAGTACTGTTAAGTTCTTATGTATTTTGAATTGTAACATGCATTCTTTCCCGCCATTTACCTGGGTCCTGTCTCTGTCTCTGCCCCCAAATAACACACGAGACACTATATTAATTATGAAGCTGTTGGCTGTTTGCTATGGTTTCTTAATGGCTAGCTCTGACTTAATTATTAACCCATAATTACTAATATATATTTTTATAAGGATGTATCTTTCCGAGGATGCCATCCTGATGTGTCCTCTCCTCCCAGGATCTCATGGTGACTCTCTATTCTTGAATACACTTCCCAGAATCCTCCTCGACTCTTCATTCCACCTATCTTGCTTCCCTATTGGCCAATAGTGCTTTATTTACCTGCCAATAAGACAACATATACACAGAAGGACTTTCCCTACCATTAAATAGGAATTATTGCCAAGTTTTCAATGTTCTATTATAACGGTTTTGTTTTTATTTATCTGTCATTAGTAGTAAATCAACTAAACTATTAATTCTAATTTAGCTTGTTTTTTATTGTACATCATATAATTTTGATATGTACTCAATACCTAAGAGACCATAAACATTACTGTCCAACAATATTGAGTCCTATGGTTTTTACCAATTTATTTATAATCCTTGATCTTACATGTAAGGTCTAAAATTGTTTTGATTAGTTTTAAGCAGTATGTAACATAAATTATAATGTATCCAATATTATTTTCTTACTACTGGTTATCTACTGTAAGAGCATTTCCTGAAAAAATATATTGCCATTTCTTCATTCTATTTTCTGTGAACCCTTTCTTAAATCATGGCCTTTTCCTGATTTGCGTCTTTGCTATATTCATTTGATTCCCATCAGTCAAGATGCTTGCTGCCATTAAATTCTCCCAACTCTAATCCAAAAATGACCTATTCACTACATAAAAGCAGGATTTTAATGAAAATATTTTATTTAAAACTGATAAAGCAAGTAAGCAAAAATATAAACAGCATTCGGGATAAATATAATTCTATTTTTCTTTTTTTTTTTGTAAAACTGATAGTGTCTTCATCATTTGAAATTTGGAGTTACTTTCGAGTTACAGTCAATGCACATCAATTTTAATATAACACATTGTAGTTTTCTTGATTCACACCCACTGCTACTTTTCAGTCCCCCCCCCATGCTTTTCCATCCACAAAACTGGGGCTCAGCTGTGAGTGGGAGTGTTTCCCAGGCCCTTTCCAAAGTTCACCAACTGTTTCCTTATTTTATCATTAAGATAGGATTTTGACTGTGGGAGATGTTAGCGGGTTCCAGGAATAGTGTCCCTGAAAGAAAATGATAGGGCTCAGTAAACTTTCTTCATGTGCCTTCAACTAGAATATACAAGATGAAAGGAACATATATATTTTCAAAGCCCTGTTGGCATTCCAAGTATGCTGTTTTATTTTTTAAGAATTGAATAAATAAAACATTCTAAGTTTCAGTGAGAGACACACAAAGCAATGGAAGGAATCACTGGCTCTGAGCTTCCCTGCGATTTTGCAGTGGCCCTGGTAAGGATGTGAGTGTCCCTTTCATTTCTGACTGCTATATTAGAAACAAAGTCCAGTTTGTTTTACCCAGATCGTAATCTTAGAAACACAGTTGCCAAATGGTCCAGTCCCTAAAAGCTGGCTATTTATCACCTGAAGAATGTAGGAAGATTTACAGTAAAATCAGCTTTTAAAGTATGAAAGATGTGTGGTATCGATTGTGGCGGAGGAGGCAGAAAGTCTGCATTTTAAGCAACTTTGTGTGCCTTGAACATCAGCAGATGCTGTTGATGAATCCCAAACAGGAGCATGTGAGATTTATCCTCCTCTATGCTCTTCTCTCAGCCAACATTACCCATTCACTCAGGAGCACTTATGCTTCTGGAACAAGAACAACAAAAAGAAAGCGCTCTTGTAATGCATCAGGGAAGAATATTTCTGCCTAGCAAAAAAGAAAACCATTACATACAATACATAGCTGAATTTCATTTATAAGGTATATGCCAGTGGACTTACAATATTGTCTTTAATGCTATCAGAGAATAATTTTGATGCAAATCCCACTCACATGCAAATAAAACAATTGCCAAAGTAGCTCTCAAAGCTCAAATATTCATCTTGACCTCATCGTCCACCTTTTGCAACTAACATACAACAGCCTACGATGGCCCTATTTCCTGGGAAAATTATAAAACTCATGCCACAAATACTGACTTTAGTGCTTTTCCTTATGTGTGCATGTATGTTGTATGTGTGCTCATATATATGTGCACATATACATGTGTGAGCACATGTATAGCCACAAGCATCTAGAGGGCCTTTCTGTATGCTTTATCCATTTTGTAGTTTTGAGACAAG